AGAAATCATTGTCAAACCAACAACAAGTCTCAATTAAAACTAAAAGTAGTCTAAAACAAAAAGATAAAAACTTATCTTAAGTCCTCCACCAAACTTTTGAAGTTCCTTTAAATCTCTTCTCTTTTACAATCGCTCAAAAAAATAACAAAAAGGATAAAGTAAATAAAAAGTGGTTCTTGAAAATCTATTCGAACTAACTCCCAAAGAAGAACTTTTGAAACTTGCCAGTAAGTCCTCTCTTCTTTCTTTTATAGTTTTTCAAGAGGTGCCTTGGGATCTCTTCAAAATGTGTCTTGATTTGATGTATTTGCCCAAGAGATGCATCCTTTCATGATAATTTTTTTCCACGGTGGTTATAACCACCTATTAAGCCAACAAGTGTCTCAAAAACCACTTCAAAATTCGTGAAAATTGATTTTACTCGTCTAGTAACTGCCACTAGCACTTAGGCATGGGGTCTCGGTGCTTAAGCACGACCTTCTCTACTTAACCGGCGCTTAGGAGCCAAAACTCTGTTGCACAATTTTTCACCTTTTTACTCCAAATTTGACCCTTTTTCACTCCTTTAAGCATTTTTTTTTCCATTTTTACTTGTATCTACAAGTAAAACACAAAAATACCTTCCAGTAAAGCGCAATATATCAAAAATAGGTATAAAAATGTGTCTAAAAATACTATATATTTTAGGTGTATCACTCTTCATCATCACCGGCGTTGCCTCTGGCATCGTTGGCGCCACCCTGTGCAGCTCCATCATTTTGCTTCGTTTTGCTCCTTTTTAGCTCCGTTTCGTCCCATTTTAGTTGTGTTACGTTCCTAACAGATAGACCTACAAAATAAGCATAAAAATAACCTTTCTTTAAAGTGTAATTTCATTCAAAAATGTGTGAGAAGTGTAAAATAGATTAAACATAGAAAGACATATCGAAATGTGTCAGGATAAAATTTTCATTCTTGCTCATTTTTGCTCCAAATTGCATCGTTTTTGCTTCTTTTTCTCCAGACTCCATTTTCTATACCTGAAACCAAAATTATACAAAATACCTTTCTTTACAGTGCATTATCATTGAAAATCGCCAAATAGAGGCATTAAAAGCATATGAAAAATTGCACATTTTTTAGGCGTATCAGCCAGTCATTAAATTTGCTCTCAACCCCTATCACCCAAAGCTTGGGATTTGAAAGGTAAGATAACATAGTCATTCTAACCCACATTAAGCCCAAAAAAGTATGGAAAGATCTCAATCAACCATGGTATTGCTATCCGCTAAAGAAATATAATGAAATTCATGGCTTTCACAACTGAGTTCCATGTCACCTACTCGGATATCACACACTAACTGTGAAGCATGGACCTCATCTCACTACAAAATGTTAACCTCAAGGCATATCATAATTGTTCAAGGTACACAACCAGGTTGGTGCTAAATTTGCCAGCTGAGCTTTCTCCCTCTGTTGTCGGTCGGAGGAGGATGGCTTACCCATGGACAAATGACTTGGCTAAACCTGCTATCTACTTTTCAGACACAAGTAAGAAGACTTCAAGTGAGGTCACATCAAAAAGTTTTGAGGTGTTCTTAAGAGCAATGAGAGACGATAGAAATAAGCAAGAACTACATAGAGGTGGAATAAGACAACACAAAGAAGTAATCGACAAACTCACAAACTTATAATTCATGATAAAATTTAGAATTGTGTGAGGTAGAAGGGTATTCTTCTTACATCAAAGCACCAGAAAGGATTCTAATCTAATGTACTTAATATGAACAGAATATATATATATATATATATATATATATATAGTAATATGATGATATTAATGGGTTTCAGTTGTGAGAAATGCTCTTCTAGGCTTTTTCAATGGTTAATTTTCCATTGATTCTCCTTCAAATGATCTTCCATATTGTCATATGGTTGATAGTCTAGAAATATCAAACTGAGCGAAACCTAAACATTATATCTTCTTGAAGAAAACTCACAAGAGATGCATTGAAACTTGTATCATTATTATGTTTGAGTTTCAAGTATCCTTGGACATGAACAATTTTATAATCAATATCAATCACTTTGCCTTGGAGACATGTTATTTCAAGTGTCAAAGTTTGATAATCACTATGAAGATCTTCTAGAGTTGCAGAAGATTAAGCAGTTGTACAAGAGGTAGATGTTCTGAGGTAGAGGTTGAAGGAATATCTATTCCTCTTCCCATAGATCTCATTCCAGTATGCAAATCATATACTTGAACATTGGTTCTACTGATTGGCTTAAGTGGTCGCGCATGTGTTTCCCAACTCTCATATATTAGTCTTGATTACTTACGTAAAGTAAAAATCATGGCAGAGAAACTAATCCTCCAGTGGACTCACATCTAAGAGAAATATCCTGATAAATTATAGATCCAATATTTATATTCTTCATCTGTTGAATACAAAAATTCAAAGATGCTCTCTCCTTGGCCAGCTCATTAAGATAATTAGTGGGAAGAAGTCGTGTAGCAATAAAATAGTACCTTGCCTTGGAGGGTACATTTAACATTGAGGTGGAGAAGTTTACTTTTTGATTATTCTTAATTTTCCAAACTCTTATTTCATCCATAAAAAATGCTATCACCTCTTCCAACTGATATTCAATAGACTCAAATAAAGAATACTCACAGTTCAAAACATTTAGTAATTGGAATAAAGCATTGATGCGCTCAGGAGTAACTTCCACTCTTCTTCATCAAACATAAACTTGATCATCATAAACTTTAGGGAAATTTGCATAAAATTCTTGCACAATAAAATTATTGCTGCTGCTGTGAAGTAACAGAAACTTTCCTAGTGCTAGGCTATAATTAAGCTTTAAACCGCTCCCCTAGGATTGAGAA